TCGAAATTCAAAACATTTTATTATCTTTTATATCACACTAATATTTCATAGGTAAGAATAAACAAATAATTTAGCACTTTCAAAAATCTATTTTTTAGAGTGTTGTACCTTTTTTTTGTATTTCGATGGTCTAAACAAATATATCAAAAATACATAAATTCTTATTGCTCCCTCCATATTTGTTTATCTGTCTCATGCACTTTTCTTTTTGGTATGTATCAAATTAATTATCTCATTTATTTTTTGGAAAAAAAAACACAAAAGCAACAATAGAATGAATATAGTACCGCCACCTTTCTACTACAGTTTTGTAAATTTCTATAACATTTTATTTGTACTCAAATTGTTACAAATAATATATAATAATTCACAACTTTTTGTTATGTTTCATATGAAACCAATATTGCATGGTTAAAAAGAAAGTAGTTCCGATGCATTATAACTCATTTGTTTAAATTTGTGAGTTTTATAAGTCTCATATGAAACTTCATTTGTTAAAAACAACTTTTTAACATGAAATATTGGTTTCATATGAAATGTAAAAAATGATTTTTGATATATTATTTGTAGAAACAATGACCGCAATAATACTCCAGCGGTTATCAAAGACATAAATATGGCCCGTTGTCCGATTAGACAAAAATAGAATTGATCTTGAAGCAAAGAGACTAAATTACCCTCCCCTAAACAATTTCCCATCTAGCCAATCCTTCGTCTATACCCTTCGAATCTTCATCGCACTTGGACCCTATTCAGTTCGTATATCTCAGCTCCACTCATGCGCAGCCATCCTCCATGGCAACTCCCACCTTCGAATCTCCATCCCTCCTCCGCAAGCAGCACCTCAATATCTTCAATCGATCTAATATCTTCGCTTTCTTCTCGTTTCTTCATTCATCGCTGCTTCCCTACTTCGCCGCTACATCTTCTCCTTCATCAGGGCAACTGAAATCGACCAGCAACAAAGATCGACGGACGGCGTCGCTGCTTCAGTCTTCTTCAATGGCCGCCATCTCTGCTTCAGACTTCCTTGATGGTGTCCGTTGTTGCTGGATCCACCATCCTCAATAGATCTACAATTAATAGATCTACAGTTGTACACTGATGGCGGCGGCTAGGATTACCGTATGTGGCGGCGATGGAGGCTAATGGTGACGAGCGGAGGCGGAAGTGGCCTGGCGGCGGGATAGTGGTTGTGTGGGAGTATCGGTGTGTGACGGTGCGGCGGCTAGGGGCGGGGTGTAGTGCGATGCGGTTGTCCAAGGGATGGGGGTGGTGGTTGGGGGATGGTGGTTGGGGGCTGGTGGGGGGCTGCTGTGATGGGTGGGGCTATTGTGGGGGTGGGGTGACGCATGGGAGGGGCTGGGGTCTGGTGGTCGGAGGTGGTGGTCGCCTGCGTGGCCCGTAGGTGGTGGTTGCAGGCAGTGGCCGTAGGTCGCCGGTGCCGGGGTGATGGTCGCCGGTGGTGGCCAGATTATGGTCGGACCAGTAATGGTAATTGATTGGGTTGAATAATTTTAGTTTGTCAAAATTAGGTAACTATAACTTGTGGGTCGGGTAAGTGTAACTTGTGAATCGAGTAATAGTAACGTATTGTGTAACTATAATTAAAGAGTCAGATAATTGTAACTAACGAATCAAATAACTTTAATTGAACGGATTGGTAATTGAGTCACTAAATTGTTGGACGTAGGTCACTAGATGAGTAAATGGACATGTAACTATGCTTTTAGTCATTGTATTATTTAGTCACTGGACAAAAGTCACTATGACAATCGGTCAATAGGGACCTTGGTCACTGAAGCAGTGATAAGTTGAACCGTGGTCACTGGAGCAGTGGTAACTGGGACAGTGATACCTGATGATTTTTTGTCACTGGTGAATTTTGGATTTTTGGTCACTAATGACTTTTGGTCACTGATGAATTTTGGTCACTGGTGAATTATGGATTTTTGGTCACTAATGATTTTTGGTCACTGGATGAATTTTGTAACTATGTCATTGGTAACTGTAACATTGGTCACTGTGACGGATTACTGTAGCAGACCAATGGGTTTGGGCTTATTAAGGGTGTAACAGTCCCTTGAGTATTATTTAGTCTTATTTTTGGAACTTAAAAGAAAAATCTCTTTTTTTGTCCAAATGCTTTTAATTAGTATTATTTGAGGACAAACCCCTTATTTGTAACATTAGAGTACAACTAAAAAAATTATAACACTTTAAAAATAGAAGTTTTTTAAGTGCTAAATTATTTTTTAATATGTATGAAATATTAGTGGCACATGAAAGATAATAAGTCGTTATGAATTTTGGTATATTTCATCTGGCTAATGAAATTCATAACAAATTACGGAGTATTATTTTTCATAACTTATATTTTATACATATTAAAAACTAATTTATCACTTCAAAAAAACTTCAATTTTTTAGTGTTATAACTTTTTTATTTGTACTCCAATGTTACAAATAATATATCAAAATTCATTTTTTTTACATTTCATATGAAACCAATATTTCATATTAAGAGTTGTTTTTTAATAGATAAGGTTTCATATGAGACTTAAAAAAACTCGCAAATTTATACAAATGAGGTACAATGCATTGGAGTACAAAAAATTTAACCATGCATTGGTTTCATATGAAACGTAACAAAAAGTTATGAACTTTTATATATTATTTGTAACAATTAGAGTACAAATGAATTGTTATAACATTTACAATTGATTTTTGCGTGGGTTGGTTTTTCACAAAAAAATGAGACAATTAATTAGATCTGTGCCAAAAAGAAAAGTGCATGAGACAGATAAATTAATACGGAGGGAGTAATAAGAATATATGTATATCGATATATTTTTTTAGACCATCAGAATACAAAAAAAGGTACAACACTCTAAAAACTAGATTTTTGAAAGTGCTAAATTATTTTTTATTCCTACATATGAAATATTAGTGTCATATAAAATATAATAAAATGTTATGAATTTCGAGAAATCTTTTAAAATAATCGGAGTGCAAATAAAAAAATTATAACATTTTCAAAAACAATTTTTTTTAAAAAAAATCTCAAAATTATTTTTTAAATTATATATATATAATATTGGTGTCATATGAAAGCTAATAAAAAATTATGAATTTTGATATATTTTTTATGACAATCAGAGTACAAATAAAAAAGTTACAACATTTTTTTAAAAATTGGTATTTTCTATTTTGTTGGGTCCCACCAATACCTCTTCTCCAATTTTGTGATGCCTTTATGCTTCTTCTTCCTACATGTTAGTGAAGGATGGAGTAAAGAGTCAGTTTGGTCATCGAAGTTACATAAAAGAGGTCAAATAAGTCCTTACATAGAAAATTGTGTCTGGACGTGCCATTTGAGGCCGTTCCTGATGGAATTTTTTGATAAAAACTTTTGAGCATCTTATTCATTAAGTCTAGTTTACTCATACCATATTTCAACTGAAAATTCAACCGGGAAGGCATTCAAATGAATTCTTGAAGATAACTGCGTTTTTAATTGCACAGTTATCTTCAAGAATTCATTTGAATGTCTTCCCAAATGAATTTTTATCTGAAATTTGGTATGACTGAACTAGACTTAATGAATAAGATGCTCAAAAAATTTCAACAGGAACCCGCCCCAAATGGCGACGGCCGGATAAAACCTCCTATATAAGGACTTATTTGATCCCTTTTATGCAACTTCGAGGATCAAACTGACTTTTACTCACGGATTCAGCACGGGCGGTAGAATGGGAAATAGTTTTAACCCAGCACCAATTTGAGAAAAATATTTTTATACTCCCTCCGGTTTTTAATAAACTTCACACTTTCCTTTTTGGGACGGTCTAAAATAAACTTCACAATTCCTTATTTCCTTTTTTGGCAAAGAAATCTACACCAAAATAGTGCTAAACAGTGCCAAACAGTGTCTCAACAGTGCCAAACAGTGTCTCTACAGTGCCAAACAGTGCCTCAACAGTGTACTCTACAGTAAAGTCAAATTTCTTTCATTATTTTGTGTGAAGTCAAACTCATTAAAAAAAACTAGAGTTAGTACCAGTGTTCTAAAAGGCGTAAGGCGTGTCAAGGCGGCACAACCGAGCCTCAAGCCTTTGAAGCCTAGGCGGGCTTAGGCGGGGTTGAGGCGTGAAAAGGCGTTCTGGATTTTTATCGTTCGAGTTAATATTCCCGGTCTCCTAGAGCTATTTGCAAATACGGAGTATATAAATTTAATATTAAGTAGTATCATGCATCAATATCATACTTTTCTAATTTTCAACACCCATAGATTTTGTAGACTTTAAAATATGACAAGTATAGATTTATCTATTACACAAATATTAGAATTGGGATAAGTAATTGAAAGATAAAATAATAACAATAAAAGTAATATAATGGTGAAGGTGATGGAACAACTACTAGTGATAATAATATAATACCGGCCACCTCCGTCCCACTAATATTGAAACACGAAGAGGTGATACAGTCATTAAGAAAAGTGTGTTTATGTGATTGATGTTGAAATAATAAAGTAAGAAGAATTAGAAATCACACAAACATGATCAAAGTTGGTATGAGAGTTTGAGACAATTGTAGTGAAACGAATCGAAAAGGAAAGATGTGACAATCTTAGCATGATGGAGGGAGTAACAAACTAACAACTAATATAAATACCAATAATAATTTTGTAATATAACAATAATAATTAACTAATGGTAGTTAATTATCAATGTTTATAAATAAAATAATTATATAGAGCTATTTCGTAGCATTCATAAAAAATACGAGTATGAAACATCACTCTTGAACATTTTCACGTTTGTGCTTAGGCAGTTTAGCTAGAGTTGCTTCTTATCATCATGAAATTAGTTTGATTAGTTTTACGCTTTTGTTTTGTATTTCAGCCTTTTCGCATGTTTTTCCCACACCGGAAGTTTACAAACAAACCAGCCTTCTAATTTGCTATAAATATTGGTGATTGCTATTGATTGCAGAGCACTGGTGTGTAGGCAGCTCGGTCTATCACCTAGGATGAACAAAAAAATGGGCTGGACTTGCAATGGGCCGCCTTTGTTCACGCATTAGTTGGAGGCGGGGCGTTTCTGTCCCGCATTGCGCCTAAACGCGCCTTAGCGGCGCCTTTCCCCGTGTTTTAGAACACTGGTTAGTACTACTTATTCAGCATTAGTTTGGAAAAAATCTCACGATGAGAAGCGGTTTTATGACTCTCCAAGTCCATTTGATGCGTGGGAAAGAAGATTGAACTTTGAAAGTGGCGAGGTTAGACTAGCGCGATCGACCGATCCTCTCTTCGAATCTCTCAATTTCCTCACCGGTAAACTCTGTTGACTTCTAATTTTTCGAAAACACAGGATATTCATGGACTAAGAAGCGCTGATTGATCTGGGACTGATCCAGAGAGCGATGTTCCAAGCCTCACCGCCCACGTGGCAGTCTGCCATTCTCAGCAACATCATCTTTTTGATGGTGGGTAGCCCAGTTCTGGTCACTGGGCTGTCTTTTTCAGGCATAGTGGCTGCTTTCATGCTCGGAGTTCTCACCTGGCGCGCTTTTGGACCCTCTGGCTTTCTTCTCCTGGCAACATATTTCGTAATTGTAAGCCCAAAGTTAAATCTTTCTTCTTCATTCCTTAGGGAGGGGGCTACATTTGAGATTAAGGTGTGAATTGCAGTAAAATATGATTGACCTTTAGATGCAAAATATTGTATGAAGGGAGATTAAGTTAGCTGAGCATTCAAAAGTTACGCACGAGAAAAACTTATATCCTCCTAAAACTTCGATTTAGGAGTTTCCCAAAGCTGGATTAGTGAAGGTTCTCCAAAAACCTAAGTTTTTTCATTCATGAAGTACTAATTTAAACGAGGAATACATAATCAAATATAGAAAAACCTAGACTCAAACAAACTGATGTTTATGTAAGAGTTTTTCATAAATATCCTTGCACTTTCTTTTTGGTTTTGCATTCTGCCTTTTCAGTTTTCACATTGCTATTTATGAAGAACTATTATGATATGCTAGCCATTGTTCATTCTGAAATCCTTATGGCTATCTTTGAATTTGAGGAAGGAATTATAGTTCATGTTAAGGCTAAAGCAAAATTACTTTCTTCAAATATGGCTGCTATGTTTTTAATCCTAAGATGCTATTTATTTGGTGATAGATAAAGAAAATCAAGAAATTGAATAAAGAAGATCATTACATTATGAAAGATAAAAAAAGAAATGCTATGTTGGTGGTCATGTTTAGATAAAGACCATATGTTTTGATCATATTACTCATATATAGATAAGGGAAAAGGGGCAAATAAGCCCTCGAACTAATAAAAAAAGTGCAAATAAGCCCTTTTGTAGGAGGTTTCGTCCGATTATCGTCATTTGGGGAGGTTCTCGGTGGAATTTTTTGATGAATTTTTTTTAGCATCTTCTTCATTAAGTCTAGTTTAGCCATACCGAATTTCAGTTAAAAATTCAACCGGGAAGGCACACAAATGATTTTCGGAAATATACTGCGTTGTTTAACTGCGCAGTTATCTTCAAAAATTCATTTGACTGTCTTCCCGATTGAATTTTTAGCTGAAATTCAGTAGGACTAAACTAGACTTAATGAATAAGATGCTCAAAAAATTTCATCAAAAAATTCCACCGTGAACCTCCCCAAATGACAATGACCGGACGGAACCTCCTACAAAAGGGCTTATTTGCACTTTTTTTATTAGTTCGAGGGCTTATTTGCCCCTTTTCCCTATAGATAAATTTCTCTTTGAGAAAAAAAAAGCAAGTTATTTACAGAACACAGTTATGAGGAATGCATAAAATACTTGAATGATTATGTTGTCATTTGCTTATATTTAAGAACCCTGTTTGAGCAAATGTAAGTTTATCAGGGCACAGGAGTGACTAAAGTGAAAATGGCAGAGAAGGAAGCTGAGGGTGTTGCAGAGAAGAGGAAAGGAAGAAGAGGACCAGGAAGTGTGATTGGTTCCAGTGCGGCTGGTTGCATTTGTGCTTTCCTGACAATTAACAGGATTGGTGGGGACGTATTCTCCCGGTTATGGGACCTTGGTTTTGTAGCTAGTTTCTGCACTAAGTTGAGTGATACCGTCTCAAGTGAGATAGGGAAGGCATATGGTAAAACCACGTCAGTACTACTGCCCATGACCTCTCTTGTGTCTATTACTCTATTACCCTGGACACCATTTATATACTAGCAGTTTGATCACTATATTAATATTACACATTACTGCATATCACTATAACCAAGCATTCCAACCCATCTGGTTGTGAGGTTATCGTGCCTAGTGGGAGGTCTCGAGTTCGAAACCCGCTAGGCATATAAGGGTTTGAAACTCAATGGAGTGAGTTTCAGCCCTGATTACTCTAGGCTCGCCACAGCCCCCCTCCCCCAGACCCCCCTGGAGTAAAAAAAAATGCATACGCTCTTTATTTTAACATTTGTAAATTACAAATCACATAGAAAAATAAAAAGCCTAAGATATTGCTACTTATGCAGTATGTGATACGCCCTTAAAGTCTTGTTTGACTAAGTAGAAACTTAGAATTTTGGTCAGGTACAACTGCAACAAAATCATGAATCATTTTTATATTTTTAAATTTGCTAGTCACTTTAACCAAATTTATCATATGTAACTTGTCTGTGACTTTTTTGACAATACTTTTAAATGTAAAGGTACATAAAAAATAGCTTCATTTGGTCGACCTTGACTCTTTTTGTCACAAAAAGATTGTTTCAAACAAGTTTTTTTTAGAATGGGAGCAATAAGCATTTGTGTTAGGAACTTACGATTTTCTTTTATTATATTGAGTCTTTGACTTATTTTTCTTCCACTGCAAATATTCAAGGCACAATGTTTTTTATATGTGCACCTAATCCCCCTCTTAGACTGCAAACCGCGTTTGAGGCAAAACCTTTTTGGGTACAAAAAGATTGTTTGAAACAAGTTTTTTTATTCATTTTGCGTTTTCCATGAAAACTGACATGCAATGGTACTTCAATTGCAGATACCTCATTCCAACGTTGAGGGTAGTTCCAAGGGGAACAGAAGGGGGTATAAGTGTTGAAGGGACTTTTGCTGGACTTTTAGCTTCAGTTATTCTTGCTTCTGTTTCTTGTATAATGGGTCAGGTATGGCTCATAATGACACATGATATCTTGATAACCATGCTTGAGGCATGATTTAGAACTTACAACAGGCTGCTTATGTTATGTTATGTTATGTTATGTTATGTTATGTTATGTTATGTTATGTTATGTTATGTTATGTTATGTTATGTTATGTTATGTTATGTTATGTTATGTTATGTTATGTTATGTTATGTTATGTTATGTTATGTTATGTTATGTTATGTTATGTTATGTTATGTTATGTTATGTTATGTTATGTTATGTTATGTTATGTTATGTTATGTTATGTTAAAAAAATGTTATGTTATGTTATGTTATGTTATGTCATGTCATGTTATGTTATGTTATGTCATGTTATGTTATGTTATGTTATGCAACACATAACACATTCTTTATTGAGTAATTCAACACAAAAATCATTGTGTAAAGCACTAAAGTGTAAACTGATTCTATGAAATAACCACTATACCCTCAGTAGTGTAGTCTGGAATCCGAAAGTTGTGGATTCGGGTGAACCTGAAAAAGAACTCACTTGTGTAAGTTTTTAAAGTTACTTGAAATATGTTGTGGTCCCGGAACAGGTCAACCCCCCATCTCTGACCATGTCCCTCCTATAAGTTTAAATGCTTAAGTCTTAACATGGGGATATATAATATATATTGGGGAAAAATCATAAATTAAATTGAAATTAGAGTTTATCAAATTCAATATAATATGGGGAATGGTCATAATCCTAGTAATTTCAAAGTGATGGTCATGGGATAGTGTGCTGGGCTGTAGCATTTTTCTTCTTTATGAGGTTGAAAATAGATGCAAGTGCATTACGTCTTTCAAGCTCTGACTGGAAATTTTGCTCAATACAGATAGATAAAGCTGAAGCAGTTATCTGTGTGGTGGCCTCCCAGATAGCCAACTTAATTGAAAGTTTGGTAGGTGCCACATTACAGGAGAAAGAAGGGTTTCGATGGGTAAGTCATTGCTCAAGTCGTTATTTTCATTCAAGTGATCTGATCATTAAGCCTTACTGCATGCTTCTTTTGTGTTTTCAGCTAAACAATGATGCCGTGAATATAATCAACATAATAATGGGCAGCATTTTTGCAATCCTAATGCAACAAATGATGCTCCCAAGAAGCAATGATTAGACAGTGTACAGAAACACTTTGGTTCTTCTAAGAAGAAATGTTTGAGGGTTCTCTCTCTCTCTCTCTCTCTCTCTCTCTCTCTCTCGTGAGAAAGAACTGATTTTTTCGTGTATTTGGTAAGTAAAATTACACTATCGGATTACATACAAGTCTTCTTAATGGGGAATTATTTCTAGTTTATAGTTTTATACTTGTAACATATGCAAGCTTTGTTAAATTAACTAAAACTCAACAGTGCAGCTCTCTTTCATTTATATTTACAACAGTGTATGAACAAAAAATCTTTGTGCTATAGTTTTGTATTGGTGTGGACAACATTGTGGAAGTGCTTATGGAGCGAGTGTGCTTCTTTAGGAACATTCATGATTTACTTCTTTTAAAAGAGATTGGCTTCTTTCAAGTTTCTAAGGTGATGGCATATGGGGCCCTCGTGGTTGAAGGTTTAACAGATGATGAAAAATGATGGGCATACCTCCCTTTTGATGGTTGTAGTAACAAGGCACAAGCTAAGCATGACATTCCCCAAATGCTCTGACATTAATTCTATTGTACTTTTAGTCACTCAAATAGTACCGATATTGAAATGTAATTCACGTGTTTTCTAATTTGTAAATGTCATCGCTCAGTTGTAAATTGCTGTACATGTGGATTGCTGAAATGGCGAAGACTACATTTACATCAATTCAGACAATTGAAGGGTTACATTACAGACTTGAAAACATGTGGAATGCATTTCAATATCAGTACTATTTGAGAGACTAAAGATGTGATTTTCTCATTCTCTATATTTATGCATGTGTTGGATATACGAACAGGGGTGGATTCGAGCCGGGTCGGGTCCGGGCCGGGCCTAGGCCCGGGCGGGCCGCTGGTTCTGAATAGTTGGGCTGGGGACCGGCCCGGATAGCTACCGGGTCTGGGCCAGGCCTCGGGCCTCTTTACACACACACACACACACACACACACACACACACACACACACACACACACACACACACACACACATATATATATATATATATATTTGCTTTTTCTAATTAACCCCCGACTCCCCCCCCCGTCACCCCCCCCCCCCCCCCCCAACACCCAGCCCAACCCGTTAAAATTGATTTTGGCCTGAACCGGGCCCAGGCCCGGCTGGGCCTCATTTTGGCAGCACCATGCCCGGAACCGTCTCCCCCTCGGGCCGGGTCAAAGCCCGGTACCCGGACCGGTGAACTGGGCCGGTCCCGGGCCCGCACAGTAGCGGGCCGGGTGGCCCGACCCGAGTCCACCACTATATAATGAATATACGATAGATAAGCAAAAAATTCCAAAAAGAAAGCGAAAAAAATCCCAAGAATATTTACTACAAAACCCCAAGTGGCTTTTGAACATTAAATTGTAAAATTGATAAAGATATTCAATGCCGATTTTTTAATGACAAAAACGGATCCCAAACCTCAAACATCAAATTTGTTCATCAGTTCGACTACGTACCAGTTTACACTTTACACTTGGTTGAAACAGCCCTGGTCCCCATCCATTTGCGTATCTACTAAAAAAAATCTTTACAGGACAACAATGAATACTCTTGGGCTATTAAATTTTTGACGCTTACAAAAATATCGTCCAAGCTATCAAGAGTCTTCATTCTGGTCATTTGTGGGTTAGACATTGACGCTTAAAAAACACTCCGTATCATTCAAACTATGAGGACATATGTAAAAAATGTTTGGAGATCTTCTGGCATTGCCTTTTTACACAAAATACTATGTTGAAATCATAAACCCCGCGTTTAAACTTTAAATCATCCCAACTCCCAAGTGAATCCATTCGATAAGCCGTGTCTAAGAAAATTCTCTAAAGTCCACATTTTAAGGATTTGTTTAAGCCATTGTATGTATCATCAAGACATTACTACTACACGATCTTAAACCATTTGATACAACAGATTGAAACACTCTAACAACTGTCATGACAAGTTCGGCACATTACATTTCCAGCAATCACTTTTGCCGTGGCCCGTGGGAGAGGAGATTATCGAAACATGAAGTCATGAATATAAAAATTGAAAGGTTCATGGATTGCGACCTAGGTTTGACAGCTGCTAGGCAAGACGAAATATCAGTTGGAGCTTCAACATGGGTGTTATGATGAAATATTCATCGAGGATTTCAAGGGCAAACCACCCAACATCACTTCCCTTCTTGATGAAATATTCAATAACCTTGTGAGGCTTTGTGATGTTAACTTAAAATGGGACGGTAAACCACTCCTTATTTCATTGGTAGGTGCTAAGTTGAAAAATGCGTCTTTTTTAAAGTTTAGTATGTTTTTGAATGATAACTTTATATGTACATGAGTTGATCTGCCAAGTTCTAAGACAAACTTTATACTCCAATCACAAATTCACCTCATTTATCACAAAAACCCTTTATGCGCTAGTGCATTACTTGGACCAACAAAGTTGCCCCAAATTGCATAACCTAAGACATACTCATACTCCACACCAAAATATAAGTTTCATATGCTTTTCACACGTATTAAGAAAGCAAGTGATATTTGGTTAGTATTCCAATCTTGGGGAAAGTGTTTAGGCTTGAGCCTTCAACTTTTACTTTGGGAGGTGGTGCTCTAACCAATTGAAGCATTGAACTATGATCAAAGTGAATTGGTGAATGATTAGACCGAGCAGGATTTGAACTAGGGTAGACATATATGAACAACTCGGGTATCCACGAATTTTGCAACTTTGTAGAATTTTCAACGTAATTTCCGAATATGTAAATTGCAATTATTAAAATTGATTTAACCATTCATAGTAAGTAAAAACATTTCAAAGTGTCAAATCGAGCAAGGGTCATCAGGGTGAGTTGGAAATAGTAGAAAACTAATGAGGTTCAAAAAAGAAAATAGAACATCATTGTGACAAAATTAAAATGAAAATGAACCTCATACATGGAATCAGATATTTGTCAATCATTCTAATTAAACGAAAAAAGACAACAATGTAAAGATGAAATCTGATAAAAGAACACTAATTTAAAAATTTAGTGATATTCATATTAATTTGTTGTTGTTGCAGCCACATTTATATTTCTATTCATGTCATGTGAGGTGACCTGAATCAAAATATGAAAACTATTTTTTAAACTGAGAAATAAAAATTGTCCTGAGATAGCTTTCAACATCGTTGTGTCCTGAGAACAGCCAAGAAAACCAACTAATAGAATAAATATATTCTTGTAATAGATTTAGAATTAGAATCTCAAAGTCACGTGGCAGTATAAGATAGCATACTACATGGATGATGTAGTATAGAACCCCTCAAGATGTGCTACTGAGTACTGACCGTCCTAAACTCCCAAGTAATAACAATGAATTGTAGAGAAGCAGCCCTCTAAACGCAATCAATATTCTAAAGCAAATGAGATCATCTAATCTCAGGTGTAGTTATTACGCATAAATAATAATTAAAGCTGATGCACAAAGATGAAAATTCTGCCTGACCCAAGACACATAAACAAATCTCAGAATATTATTACGCCGATGTTTTTCTGTTCGGTTCAAAGACATACTTGATCAGAGATTCCTTGATTGGCAGCAACTCAGGGAACTCTTTCTTCAACTTGGAGGCGTCCATCTCATTGTTACTTCGAGCTGCTACTATAACCTTTGCTTGCTCTTCCAGAGTGAAGTTAGCATACTTGAACTCTGGATCAATGTACTTCTTGTACATCTCTAGAATCTCATTGTGACTAACAACCCCAGGGTTTGTAAAATTCCATATGCCCTTAAGATTTCGCTTTGCCATCTCTATGGAGATAGGCAGAAGTTCATCCAATACAGTCATACTGTTGGGAATGTTGACCACCTTATTGTAGCGAGCAATTTTGGTGATGAAATTGCGAGGGTTGCTGAGGTCCGATGATATTGGCATCCGAACTCTAAGTGTACAAACATTTTCGTATTCTTTCAAGAGCTCTTCTACCTGGTCGAACAAAATAAAGATCAAAGCATTGAATATATTTTCTTTTTTTATAATAATGGGTGGAAACGAAAAAAGACAACAGGAGCTGGAGAGAGAGATACCATGGCCTTGGTCTTTGAATAGAAGGAACCCGCGAAGTTAGGTTTGTCTTCCTCTTTGTATCCAATTCCAGAACCTTCCGGATGTGCAGCATCATATTCAAATATACAACCAGTGGCAAAATTCATCATTAGAAGACCATTTTCTTTGCATATATCTGCCAGGTTAAGAGTACCGACAACATTGGTGCGGATTGTTTCGGTCTTGTGACTTTCACACCAATCAACATTGGGTCTACCAGTGACACCAGCAGCGTTAAAGACATGAGTCGGCTTAACAGACTGAATGTCAGCCAGAAGCTGTAGACGATCTTCCAGACGCCCTTTTCCGTACTCAAAGGGAATTCCTTGTTTCTCACATAACTGGCCAAGGAGACCACCTATCCAACCCGTTCTACCATAAATCAAAAACTTGAAAGGCGATTTCTGAGATGGGCTCCTGCTCTTAGGACTTGGAATCACCATTTGTGTCTGGTTTGGCTTTGCAGAGAACTCAGAGGATCCAGAATCACATTTCTCAGGTTCATCGAAATGTCTTTCTACCCCACCGGGCATCATCAGCATCCTAGGATGAGGGAGCAAGGCGCCTGCAACATCACCCCACCAGTCAGGATTTTTGGTATACCATTCTATTGTCTTTTCTAATCCCTCCGTCCATCCAGTCCGCTCTGCCCATCCTATATTTTTCAACTTCTGATCATCAAGGAAGTATCTCTGGTCATTGAAAGGCCTGTTTTCCACAAACTGAATGCTTGTTTCAGGATCCATGTTGAAAAGTTTGCATATATCCTTAGCAACATCAATAACTCTCCTTTCCTTCTTTGTTCCGATGTTGTAAACATGACCAACCTCTCCTCTATGAAGAACGACCTCAAAGGCCTCAGCAACATCCTCACAGTAAAGATAACTACGGACATTAGAGCCATCTCCATGGATGGGAAGAGTCTTTCCCTTCATTGCTAAAAGAATGAACTTTGGGATTAACTTTTCCGGGAACTGGTTGGGACCATATACATTGTTTCCTCGAGTAGTTATAACAGGCAACCCATACGACCTACCATAAGCCATTACAAGCATCTCAGCCCCAGCTTTTGTGGCTGAATAAGGATTTGTGGGAAGGAGTTGTGAGGCTTCATGATTTCCAACCACAGCATCTTCATCAGTCTCACCATAAACCTCATCTGTGCTGACGTGTATAAATCTTCTGATCTGACCCGTAACTTTGCAGGCCTCCAACAGTACATGGGTCCCATAAATGTTGTTCTTGGTGAACTCAAAGCTGTTGCCAAAGGAGTTGTCTACATGGGTCTGAGCAGCAAAATGCATTATTGTGTCAATGTTCTCAGTGATGAGAAGGTAGTTAACTAGATCAGCACTTCCAACATCCCCCTTAACAAACTTGAAGTTTGGTGAGGAGTAAGATGGATTGAGGTTCTTAAGATTTGAGCAGTAGTCAAGCTTATCCAGAACAACGATCTTGTAACCCGGATAGCTACGGACAAGTCGATTTGCAACATGAGAAGCAATAAATCCGGCTGCACCTGTGATCAGGATATTCTTTGGGGTGTACGATGCCATATTCACAGATATCCTATTGAAAAATTATAAGAACAAAACAAATTCAAAAATAGATCAGATTCAAGAGAAACACAGGGGAACCAAACAAATATGAGCTGGGCTTCAATTTCTAAATACAATACATAGGCAGCATCGCTACAATTACAGCTTATATTGAACCATTTCAGGAGAAATGAGCCAGATCAGACATTAAGCGGTAACAGCAAAAGCAGTTGAAAAGTGGGGCTTAACCACTTCAGTTAATGAGAACAGACCGTAGGACCTCTAACCAGAGATTATTTTATAATTTTGCAGGTGACCTAATCTGAATAAGGACATGCATGAAGACAAAATAATCTCAAGCAAATATGATCAGATCCGGCATGATTTAAAAAAAGGAAACCAGAACATTACTCATCAGCAATTCAGAACTTCAATATGCATCAGACATGAGCACGAAATTCACGAATAAACACAGCAAATAACAAGATCTATGCGGCGTGAGACAATGCTAACAACGGTTTAGGTTCACAAATGATCTAGAGATTAACAACAAAAGAGAAAACTTAGGAAACATAGAAGTTGTAGAGCTCAGATCAGTTACTCCGTATGCTCCGCAATCCAGATCACGATCAATTCAGATGCAGGTAGAAGAAAATGAGAAATTCAGAGCTGGAGATTATTTCAGACAAGTGTGTGATAGGTAAAAGAGTTGTTACTTGTTAGAGGCGTTGGGCGTCATCTCCACCGTATTTATGCATACGTTATACACGCCCCTTAACCAAGGCGAAATATACCCAAATAGTCCGTAGAATCTAAATGACACGTAGTGCAACCTCATTCGTTTTTATTTCTTTAGATGCCATATTTTCATTTTCATGTTTGTTAAAGCAATTTTTGTATCATTAATATATTTAATTTTTTTCTTTCAAAAAGATATATTTAATTTCTTAATAGTAAAAACTTTAATGTTTGCTAATTTATTACAAATTTTATGGGGAGAAATTTCTAATTTTGTCCGAATAATATTACACTATAGATTGTAAAGCAAATGTCGATGTGTCATTGCAATTCCATGTCTATCATAATAAACAATAATGTAATAAACTTTGAGTGTGTAATTTATTTTCATTGCCCTAAATAAAATCTAGTAAAAAAGACAATGTTATTAATATTGACAATCACTAGCATAGAGCATTGGGACATTGTTTATCATTTTACTCTCAATGAAAAAATGATCAAGATGAATCATGAAATAGTATCCTGAAAATTGAATTCATTAAATGGATTCACATAAATGAAAAAAACAACTAAAAAAGCAAAAACTAAAACTAAGAAATTAAAAATTAAAACAAAAAGCAAAAAGATAAGCTTTTTAAATAAACGGGTAAGGTGTAATAGTGTAATTATAAGGACTTATGTGTAATTACTCTTAATATTATCATTATAAATACAATGCTAGGGCTCCCACACGGGGTAAGCCATTATTCTACAATTATTATTTCACAAGGTATTATCAGCTTAGTCTTTTCCAAACCCTAGCAACTATGTCGTCGACCTCTTCCGCAACTTTCACGACGTCCGCAGTCATCACGGCGCCCGCCTCGACGGAGCAGTCGACCTTCAGCGGCGCGGTTATCCAGCCAGTGATTTCTACTCAGGCACCCTTCCGCACGGAGCTGCCTTCTTCCTCTGGCGTTACTTTGTCGCCACACAGCTTTCAGCTTCA